ACAGAGCCTGGGAAAAGCTGTGACGAGGAACAAGAAGGTCATTGCCAGCTGTCAAAGTTTTAGGATTTGATTTTCAAAGAAAAGGGAGAGGATATGGGTTAACTGAGTTTTCAGACCTCAAAGTAACCAAAGGGACTTTCCTGACTCTAGCAACCAGCCACTAATTGTGGTGAGTCAAGAAAGCGGTAAAGAAGCAAGGGAGGGGCAAGTTTGACAACCTAAATGATTCTGGCCTAGTCTCAGTCTTTGTTGAAAACAATCACGGGGATTCAAAGGAGCAAATACTGCATGTTTGGACCCAGAGTTCTCTAGCATTGGTGGCAGCCATCCTCCCCTGGTCACAATCGCCATCTTCTCTCTGTAGTGCTTCCCTCATCCCAAGAGGAACGTGAGGTCCAGCTCCCAGTGCATTCTGTGGGCTCCTATCCTGTTTGGTCCACTTTTCAGCAGAGAAGGTCCCTAAGGACATATCACTAGCTGTTTGCCAGATTCTCACTAGGTCAAACTCCATTTTTGTTACTGAGTATGTGGACAGTATGTCAAGCCAGAAACTTGGATGACCTTGAGCCATCCACCAGAGCAAGTGAGGAGCAAGAGCATACCCCAGTTAAGCTCAGGGACACAGGCAGCCCACCTGGAAAGGATTGATTTGCTTTGTTATTGGGCCTCCTCTATTTTTAAATACTAACAGCTAGAGGGAGTTAAAAGGATTTCTAAAAGGTTTTTCTGGGGGTAGGTTTGAAAGCTCCCCTCTCCTGCTCTGTTTTTCTTTTACAACAGCTTTGCACAAGGGGCAAGGCTCCTGCCAAAAGGCCTCGTAATGCCCCTCTTCGGAGGCTGGATTTATCCGCTCAGCTGTCCCTTGTAAATTTATTCCTGTGTGAAATTTTTCCCAAACCATTCATTCCTTCGCTTAGCTCAGGCAGCTGGAATGTAGAAAAAAATACATTTTTTTCTTTCTTTCTTCCTTTCTTTTTTTTTTTTTTTTTCTTCCTTTCTTTTTTTTTTTTTTTTTCTTCCTTTCTTTTTTTTTTTTTTTTTCTTCCTTTCTTTTTTTTTTTTTTTTTCTTCCTTTCTTTTTTTTTTTTTTTTTCTTCCTTTCTTTTTTTTTTTTTTTTTCTTCCTTTCTTTTTTTTTTTTTTTTTCTTCCTTTCTTTTTTTTTTTTTTTTTCTTCCTTTCTTTTTTTTTTTTTTTTTCTTCCTTTCTTTTTTTTTTTTTTTTTCTTCCTTTCTTTTTTTTTTTTTTTTTCTTCCTTTCTTTTTTTTTTTTTTTTTCTTCCTTTCTTTTTTTTTTTTTTTTTCTTCCTTTCTTTTTTTTTTTTTTTTTCTTCCTTTCTTTTTTTTTTTTTTTTTCTTCCTTTCTTTTTTTTTTTTTTTTTCTTCCTTTCTTTTTTTTTTTTTTTTTCTTCCTTTCTTTTTTTTTTTTTTTTTCTTCCTTTCTTTTTTTTTTTTTTTTTCTTCCTTTCTTTTTTTTTTTTTTTTTCTTCCTTTCTTTTTTTTTTTTTTTTTCTTCCTTTCTTTTTTTTTTTTTTTTTCTTCCTTTCTTTTTTTTTTTTTTTTTCTTCCTTTCTTTTTTTTTTTTTTTTTCTTCCTTTCTTTTTTTTTTTTTTTTTCTTCCTTTCTTTTTTTTTTTTTTTTTCTTCCTTTCTTTTTTTTTTTTTTTTTCTTCCTTTCTTTTTTTTTTTTTTTTTCTTCCTTTCTTTTTTTTTTTTTTTTTCTTCCTTTCTTTTTTTTTTTTTTTTTCTTCCTTTCTTTTTTTTTTTTTTTTTCTTCCTTTCTTTTTTTTTTTTTTTTTCTTCCTTTCTTTTTTTTTTTTTTTTTCTTCCTTTCTTTTTTTTTTTTTTTTTGTCTCAAGAATGTGCCTTTTGTGTGCCTAGAGGGGCTGGGCTGAAGAGAAAAGAAAAGAAATGTGTGTGCCGATGCACATATATACACAGGGCTATGACAGCGCCCTCTCCACATCTCCCAGGCTCAGAGCTGTCCTGGGTTGGTGAGGGGTGGCACAGGGTTCCTGGGATGCCAGCCGATGAAGGTGTCTGCAACAGGGGGCCTTGGGTCCTTAGCCTGGGACACAGCCAGAGAAACACCTCACCGGTTGTTTCCATGGCAACATCACAATTTAACTGGAATGGAAAGCCTCAGTGGTTTAGAGCCAGGAGCAGCTTTCCAGCTGCACGTGTGCACAAAGCAGGGGTCCTTGGGGAGGGGGAGAGTGTTGGGAACTTTTACTTTATTTTTCCTTGAGTCATTAAGGTCTCTGAGGCAGGTGAGAGCTGTGGAAGGAGTTGGAGGTGACATATGTACTTAAAGAATTTGGGCTCCTTTAGGGACAGTGAGAAATTTCCTGCAAGGCACGATCACTGGGGAGGCCTTGCATCTTGAGCAAACAGAGAAAGGTATGCTGGCATGAGAAGACATGTGAATCAGCTGGCCTGTCTGTCCTTTGCACTCCCATGGTGTTTCTGCTCCCGGGGTACCCCAGCATACAGAGATGGTTGAAAATTTAGCAGCTTTGGCAGAAGAGTCAGGACAGGAGTGTGCTCCACTTTCTGAGCGTGCTCTACTTTCTTTGCTATAGAGCAAAGAGGGTCTGCAGTAAGCTGTAAGTACAAGAGATTAGAGATCCAGGTGTCTTGCTCTGTGTGGTAGTCCAGCTGCAGTCAGAGCAGGCAGATGAACACTAGAACCCAATTCTGGGTTCGTGTCTATGCCCACAGCATTTTGTAAGAGTTTCTGCTAGGAACAGCTATCCAGGAGCACAGAGACCCCCCAAAGCCAGGAATCCGTTTTCTCTTATGGGCTAGCATATGATTTCTAGAATCAGTAAACCTACATCATCTTTTTATGCCTATAGTATATATACACTTATAATGCCGGTGCCACTTATATCTCTACAGCACCAGGATAAGATCTGGGGGGCTTTTGATATTGTACTGATTTTTCTCACATTCTCAAGGGCCTGCCCCTAGTCTGGAAGCCTGAGCTAATGTTCATTGTTATGGTTTTAGGGAAGGATCCCTTCTGTTGTGTGCTTGGAGACAACCAATGCCCCGCCCCCCTACCACCTGTCCCCTTATTTGCAGCTGGGTTGTTCGGGCTCAATTGACTCTATATCATTCTCAGGAAGAGGCAAAAAAAAAAAAAAAGAAAAAAAAAGGAAAAGGAAGATGAAAGCTGACTCATTAGGGAGTTAACAAGTCTGAGGGGAAATATGGTAGGACTTGGAGGGCCACACCAGGCCGGAGTACAAGTCAGAGAGGAGAAGTCTCAGGCTTCTCAGGCTTCAGTGTGCTTAAGGATCAGCTGATCATCTATTAAGAGACCCTTTCAGTGAATGTGGGTTCGGCTGAGGCTCTGTCTTTCTAACAAGCTCCTGGGTGATGATCTTGCTATGGATCCATTGCCTGCCCTTTGAGTAGCTAGGACAGGGACACTCATCCCATGGGGCCAGGAGGGATGTTTGTGCCATGGAGCATGGAAGAATACTCTCATTTCAATGTTCCTGCCATGGTCCCCAGGCAGGGTGGTAGCTTCTCTTTTGTGAGCCTGTCTTTCCTGGTCTTGTCGTCCTGTAAACACTAAGCGATTCAAACACCAATCATCAATTTCAGTGTGCCATCCCTTGAAATGAACGAGTTAAAGGGCAACTATCGTTTGTTTTTGGAACTGCAGTATCACTTAATGGCCAAAAGTTTAGCATTTGACATTAGACAGACCTGGATTTGAATTCTGATGCCCACTTATACAGCTATGCAAACTTGGAAAAGCTACATGTTCTCTATAAACTTAATTTCCTCAACTCTGAGGCCTAAATGTAATAATGTGTGTGAAGTACCGAATTTATATTAGCTATTACCATTATTGGTTATGAAATAATTGATATATGTCAGAAGTTATGAGCTGGAGGACCATAGGCTGAACTGCCCTTCTCCCAAATCCAGATGTTTGGCCTGCACAGTATTTAAATAGCACTGACTTAGTTGCCAACATCTTAAAATTAAAAAATTTCACGTAAAAACCAGAATTTGGGGCTTATGTTGAAAAACTATCAGATCTGACAAACCTGGCACCGATTTCTTGCATGGTAATAGTCGGCTAGCAGAGAGGCTGAGCAAGGCTGAAGACTTGGCATGGGGTCTACACCTCCAGTTCACCACCAGCCCAATCCTCTCATTTGTGTGACCTCCTCCCTGTAGGCACATACCCATGGGTCCCCACACCTGTAGGGTCCTTTCTGACTCTGGAATTCTAGTTATTTTGGCTCACTGATATGTAGTAAGGGCTTTCGGAACCCAGCAAGTCAAGGATTACCTTACCAATAATGCTTCTACTGCTTGAATGAAAGAAATCTGGTAGCCTCTGTTTTGCCTTCCAACAGAGCAGTTATCTTTATTGGGCTCAGCAGTATCTGTGGGGCCAGAACCTGTTGGTCTAAAAGGTGTCCTTCATCCATTACTGACCAGTGGGTCATCTTGGTAGTGTGTCTTTTTTTGCTCTCTCCCCAAAGTCTAAAATGTTCATGACTTAAGCTTTGCAGTAGGTGCTTCTCTTGCTCTGGTACTGAGGTCTGGATGATATATGAGTATAATCACTTTTGTTGACTCTTGCTTTTTTGAGTCTCTAGAGCTGCCTGGGCCTAGTGCCCAAGAACTTTGCTCCTTGAGTTAATGGCAATGCTAGACTGTGCTACTGGCTGTTGCCCAGAAGTACTCCTGGTACCCGTATGGGAAGGGCCACGATGGGAAAAAGTCTTGTACTGGCACTCTCTCTCTCCCCCCCACCCCGCTTTCTCCCAGCTTTTATTTTTTTATGGACTGGAAGTGGAACCACAATAGCAGAGATGAGGTGAAGGCACAGAATGAAGATAAAAGCCCTGACAACCAACAACTAAAGTAACACTGAGAAACCCTGCTCCCAGGGTACTAACCTTGAATGGGGAGGAAGCCAGAAGTTATGCAGGGGTATTCACTGACTTTAGCCTTGCTCTTTTTTTCCCACAGGCTCTTCTGTGGACCCACAACTTCATGAAAATTCTGTGAGCTGACTTCTCCCCTCTGCCTCAGACAAAGCCCATAAGGTGGGTGATCCTTGGGATGGTGCTGGATCTGGGTATGAGAAGAGTTTTCATGGTTTGTGTTCTTGGAGGGACCACATAGTTGTTTTTGTAGATGGATAAGTTTTTCTGACCCATGGTGCATAGCCCTGCATGACTTCTGCCTTCCTCCTCATTCCAGGTTCCTACCCTGGGAGCAGGGTTTTTCAGTTTTACACTTGGTTGTTGGTTGTCTGGACAGTGATGAAGAATGGGGTGACTGCCACTGGGAAATGTAATTCTAACTTTGTTCAACTTTGGGGGACAAATGCTCATGAATTTTGGTTTTGGAAATTTGTATGCAATGATGGATAAGAGACTTGGTAAAAGAGCTTTGACATTCCTGCCATCACCTCCAGAAAGTGGAACTAGAGCAACAGAGCTTTTTCAGAAGACCTGAAAAAAATGCCATTTTGTGCACTCAAGTTTGCTGTTCAAGTTCCTTCAACCAATTTAACAGAACAAGAGACAGCCAAAAATCACACTTTATTTTCTAGAATTTTGATAGCCTTAAGATAATACACTCTTGTGCTCATTGAAGTAAAGACACAGAACTCGCTCATATCAAAGATCGTGTTTATTCACCCTGTATATCTGGGCATGAGTGGCCTTGTCCACTCTAAGTGGTTCTTTAGATGACTGTCAGGACTCTTGAGCCTGTTGGCCTAAGGCTGGCCTGTGAAGAGGCTGCTGGGATCCACTGCACATGAAGCAGCCCCAAAAAGCTGGTGAGTAAAGTGCCCCAAGCCCGTCAAAGCCTGTGTCCCTGCAGATCACAGGTTCCTTCACACCAGGTTGCACTGGAGGTGGGTAGTTTTATACCATGAAGCTGTACCAGAATCACCTGGAAGCTCTGTGAATACTGATTCACCAAGTCGGAGTGCTGAACATGAGCCAGGAGTGCTTTTAACAAGCACCCCCAGGTGACTCTGAGCTTAAGAACCACCCGTCTCACACGTGGACTTTAAAATCTCATGCGGAGAATTTTTCTCATTCTTCAATTTAAAACATTCCTTAACAGTATCTCTGCTTAGAGGAGAGAAGGTCCAGGAACCTAAATGCTGAGCCTTGAAGGGACAGGATATGGACTTCATAATCCTCTGGTGCTCTTTGGGAGCTATGTTCAGATCAGGTGAGTGTGGGCCTCATTACCTGGAACACCTGCTGTGAAGGAGCTCTAGATGTCCTCCAGTTAAGCTGGAATTGTTTTCTTTAAAAATTTGACCTGACGCCCCTCGGTTCCAGGTGGAACATATTTTCACTTAAAATAAAATGTTGGCTCAGAAGGGAATTTAGAGATCTATTCCAGAGCCTCCATTTTTATAAATGAAAAATTGCGGGTTAGAAACAAAAAAAATTGTATAATGATAAATTCTTGAATATACATTCAAGGAGCTTCATGGAGAGAGGGACTTAGAAGGAGAAAGATTAACTAGGAACAAAATTATCTTCCCCAAATTCAGCTGTTGACTAGGCGGAGATAACCTCCCTTTTCCTGAAAATCCTTTCAAGGGGGAATACGTGCCAGGCAGTGACTGTGAAATTCTCGGTCTTCCCCAGACTTCTCTGTCAGCTCAGAGAGGACATCTTGCCTGGCCCCACCCTGCCTGAGCAAGCTCTTCCACGCAGAATTGTGTCATCTCCTGACTTGCATGTGATGGGATGTTTTCTGTAAATATGGAGTGCCAGTTTTGTCCCAAGCTCTAATCCTAGGTCCTGATTTCTTTAACAGAAGAGACGAGAGCTACTTTCACAGAGCTTTCTATCTAATTCTAAACTTATTAAATTCTGTTTCTGTGCTTTTAACTGTCCAGTTTCTGCCTTGAGAAAAAACTCTGGTGCTTGGAATTTTGATAAAAAATAACTCCTTTATTTTCTTATCCATAAATATTCATAGGAAACCACACTACGTGAGGTATTCAGTGCTACCTATGGGTTAAGCATTAGGTGCTAGGGATTCAACAGTAAACAAGGCAGATACAGCCTCTCTCAAGGAGCTTATAATCAAGTGTAGAGAGACAGGAAATCAATCAACAAAGAACAAGGTAATTAGTGCTAGGGTGATATGATTGTGACTGAGTGGGTGGTTACTGAAACCTGGTGTAACGAAAGCCTTCTCTGAAAGGTTTACATTTGAACTGAGATTTGAATGATAAAAGGAGCCTGTTGAAAAGGAGCCTATGGGGCAAGTAACAGTATGTGCAAAGGCCCTGATCCAGAAGTGAATTTGGTGCTGTTTTAGGAGAGAAGGTGAGGGTGGAGAAGTCGTTAAGGACTTGCAGGTGGTGGAGGGGGTTTTAAGCTATGGAGAGACTTGATTTTTTTTACATTTTAAAAGCCCTCTAGTTGTATTGAAGAGAATGGATGCGGTGAGGTGAGACAAAAAGCAGGAACACTGTTTAGAAGGCTACTGCAGTGACAGGCAAGAGATGAGGAGAACCTGAGCCGTGGAGGTGGAGAGAGTTGGTTACAGACAGGATGAATTAGGAGGAACAGCTTCTTACATGAAAACCCTTTGAAAGCATGAAATATGTGAGGGAAGATTAGTTTTTCTAGAGTCACTTTATCATAAGTTTCAGAAAGGCAGGTGCCATGTCTATTGTATGCACCACTGTGCACATTATAGGTCATAAATAGATGCATGGTAAACAGTTGCTGAATACATGAGAGGAATGATGATCACTGTGATTGTTTCTGATTTTAATTTTTAAAATTGAGATTAAATTAACAATAATTAGCATAAAACGAAATGTACATATCTTAAGTGTTCTCTTTGACGAGTTTACTGTGGTTTTCTATGGCCATATTATCTAGTTCTGGCTATATGTTTCAAGCTGATTCTCTTTTCTGCCTATGACCCAGGCCAAAATACAACCTCTTAAGTCTTGGTGGATAGGGCTTCAACAAAGTCCCAGGAAGTGAAGAAACTCATGATATAGAGCCATTGGAGCCCTTTATCTACTTATTTTTTTTATTAGTTTATTGGGGTAACATTGGTTAATACAATTATATAATTTTCAGGTGTACATTATAATTTGACATCTATATATTCTATTGTGTGATTACTACTCAAAGTCCAGTTTTCTTCAGCTGCCATATATTTGACCCCTTTTACCCACTTTACCCTCTTCCTACCCCCTATATTTAACCCCCTTTACCGTGTCTACCTCTCCCCTCCTCCCCCCACCACCTACTCTCTGGTAACCGCTAGTCCATTGTCCGTGTCCCTGAGTCTTTGTTTGTCCTGTTCATTTGTTGCTTTTAGTTTTATATCCCACATATAAGTGATATCATGTGATTTTTCAACTTTTTCAGTCTGGCTTATTTCGCTTAGCATGATTATCTCGAGGTCCATCCAGGTTGTTGCAAATGGCAATATTTCATCTCTTTTTATGGCTAAGTAATATTCCATTGTATATATGTACTACAGCTCCTTTAGCCAGTCATGTATCGTAGGACACTTTGGTTGCTTCCATGTCCTGGTCACTGTGAAAAATGCTGCTATGAACATCTTTATGGATATGAGTTTTCAAGTCTTTGGGTCCATTGTATTACTACAGCTCCTTTAGCCAGTCATGTATCGTAGGACACTTTGGTTGCTTCCATGTCCTGGTCACTGTGAAAAATGCTGCTATGAACATCACATCTGATATGAGTTTTCAAGTCTTTGGGATAAATACCTAGTAGAGGGATTGCTGGATCATTTGGTAGATCAATTTTTAGTTTTTTGAGGAACCTCCATATTATTTTCCATAGTGGCTGTACCAATTTGCAGTCCCACCAGCAGTGTATGAGGGTTTCTTTTTCCCCACATCCTCTCCAACATTTGTTATTACTTGTCCGTTGATTATAGCTATTCTAACTGGTGGAGATAGTATCTCATTGTGGTTTTGATTTGCATTTCCCTAATAGCTAAAGATGTTGAGCATCTTTTCATATGTTTATAGGCCATTTGTATGTCCTCTAGGGAGAAGTGTCCATTCAGGTCCTTTGCCCATTTTTTGATTGGATCATTTTGTTGTTGTTGTGGTGGTGGTTGATTTGTATGAGTTCTTCATATATTTTG